TCACATCAGTATAGCACGTGCTATCCACCATTTGAATATTAAATGCTTTTTTTTTAACACTCTGTATATATTTTGTATTTCGTGTTGCAGTATCGAGAAGAAGGAAAGAAGAGCGAAGAAATTTATTTATCAGAGAAATGTTCTGCTGTTGTGTGTGTGAACTCTCGCACGTCGAACGCGAAACTATACTATACATTCCTATACAATATCGATTCCTTCTCTCTCGCAACTCAACTACCTTCACCAGCATTCTCTCATCGATAACCGTAAGAAATATAGATCGTGCGTATAATCTTGCACGCGGGCTCGTGCGATTACTCACGTAATCGCAACGCACTGTTTTTTTCGTAACGAAATCGTCCAGTGGAAGAAAATAATAGTATTCCCGTCTCTTCTGGTGCCAAAGCTGTATACGCGCCGGTCAACCTGCGCGATCCGTGTATAATACTTCGTCGGGACAGAGGGATCTGGTCGTCCTGAAGTTCAATCTCCCGAACTTAATGATCCGGTGCGTGGCCGAGCGATCCGGAGATGACGGCGAGTGATATATCTATAATTAGGTGTCTCGGGCTTTAATCTCCCATTGGTTTTAATGAAAATCTCCACCCCCCGTTTTGACATACCCTAATTTCACATTTCGTTGGGATGCCGGCTATCCTTTTCTTTTTCCTTTCCTTACGTCTTTTTTCGACTTTTTTACTCTTTAAAATATCGAAGTACCGTGGGCGAACTAATAGATGGCCCGGGGGTACAGGATGGGCTTGAAGAATAGAGAAGGAGTAAGGAAATAAAAGAGAAGTCGGTTGCGCGAGGGTGCGGATAGCGCGAGAATACCCGGAGAAAGGAAAGAGAAAGCGAGGAGGGCCGCAGGTGCGAGAAGGAGGGCCGAGACGGGTGGATACGAGGGAGACGGACGGCGCCGAAAAAAGGAGTTTGCCAACAGCACTGGGGGATGCCCCGAAAACACGCCGAACGTGTGGCGCCATTTCGGCTCCTTTTTTTTCTCTATCTTCTCCGTCGTCGCTGATCCCTCCGCGATTCCTCGTGCTTTTGTTTCTTCGCCCATACTAATTCTTCGCGGGCTGCACGGCGTGCCCGGAACGCGTGTAGGGAACGAACTGGAGTCGGTGAGAGGGGGCCGGAGGATGGGGAAGAATCAGCCGGAAGAGGAGTTACACGAGCTTTGCCCCATTCGTGATAAAGTAGCTCGTATTTAAAATAAGTCGATTATTCGTTTGCTTTAATTCTTTTTCGCAAAAAAAAAAAAAAAAAAAAAAAA